CTTAGAAAAGTACGAATTATGTCAAAACGAAGGAAGCTACGTGGTTTGTAATACTACCGGAAGATAGAATAAGGACCAGTGAACAAAAGAAGCTCATGTTTGTATACATTTGTATTTTTATTCAAATCGAACTCGTACGACAAAAAATGTAGTGAAATCAGTACCAAATCGCTGTCTTACTCCTTTGTCATTATACGCTCCTGATATATATATATATGGTGTTAATGCATGAATTTATATTTATCATGATATGTAAGCAACAACGAAGTTTTTGTTCACTACATTTTCGTCGTGGCACGCGTAGAGGATGAACGACGTACATGTACTTGTGCGCTGGTGAATTCGCGTACCTTTCTGCTCCCATTCGAGCTGCTGCTTCTGCTTGAGCTTGTTCTCGTCGAAGTGCAGCGTGAGGAAGTGGATGTGTTTACGGTTGTTGATGGCCTTCAGCACAGCGGTGACGGTGCTCGAAGGGTGACTCGAAAACAGCGTCTGCAGGCTGTCAAACACGACCCCTCTGTAGCAGTCGGGTTGCTGTGGGGAATAACACAGCGACCAAGCTTAGATGCGACAAGATCGGCACAGGCTTGCTGTTACGTCAGATGCCCATCAGTAGGTAGCTATTAGGGACTCAATAAAAGCAGCGATACTTTTGTTTGAATGCGCTGTATTAAGGATGTTTTTTGATGATAAGTATACCCTAATGGATATGAGAATGTGTTTGAGCTTAACTTGAGCAGCTTTTTTTGTTTTTGTTTGTTTGTTTTTTAATATTATTTTCATCCTCATCATCATTGCCATCATCACAAGTGACTTGTAACAGTAATACATGGTTACATAATGTTCTCGTGACACGATATCATTGTTCATGATATTCCAATGACACTGTAATGTCCATGGCTCGTGCCTATCGACATTGCTCGCTGCACGTATCATAAAGCTAGCATGAAGATAGTATGCACGAACCTGCAGCCTATCAGCTAGTATGTCAGCGAGCACGCTCTCGGGCAGCGCGCAGCTGTACAGTGCGTTTCCGAACTCGTCGAGTATCGGCAGCGGCTGCGACGATGGCGCCACCATGTTGTCGATGGCGATGGCGTTCTCGTCGATGGCCGACTGGTTCTTTCCACCGCCCGCCGCCTCCTTCGAATCCTTGTAGACCTTCTTCTGCACCTGGCTCGCACTCAGGTTACTCGCCTTGCGCGAGCTCGGCGTGGATACACCTGCAATCACGAGACGGACTGATACATCTGACTGTCGTTTACAGGTAGCCACCAAAAGCAAGTCAGCACACGGGGACTACAGTATATAGTATATAGAGTAAATATATGTACTAAATATGCGGTGCATTTTAACAGTACTTGTTTGCTGTGTACGTAATAATGCAAGGTGATGTGATTCGTCATTAAAAGCCACATGAGTGAAGGATTTCCTCTGAGTGAAGGATTTCAAGAGTCTTGTCATTGAAAATTTAATTTAGATATTAAAAACTTCTCACTTCAAGAGAAATCCTCAATTAAACACCATATACCGTACAATTCAGTATTAAGTTTTTAAGACTCAAAATTGAAATAATTCATCGCAAAGAAGATAACGGTTTTGTGAAATAAATGCAAGAGCATAATTACTTTAAGTTAAAGACATTAAACTTATAAGGAAGAACTTATAAGGATTTATCGCGTAGTAGAAAAAGCTTCCGACGATCTCGACAAGTGAACGCGACTCCCGACTCACCCGAGCCGGGCACCACCTTGCCGCCGAATCCCTCGATGACCATCTTCTCGAGTTCCCTCTCGTGCTCCTTCTTCACGTGGCTCGCGGCGGCGCATGCCTCCCACGCCGCGCGTCCCGCCGCCGTTGCCCGCGCCGCGACCGCCTCCATCACCGTCACGTCGACGCTGACCACCGCCGCGCTGTACCGCGCGGCCAGCGCTGCCGCGCACGCCGTCTTGCCCGACGTCGGCGCGCCGTGAACGATAACAGCGACGCCGCGACGTCGCGCGCTCGCCTGTGCCTCCGCCGACGCTGTCGACGCCGACGTGTCGCGGCGACGGCGAGCTCCGCCGGCGACAGCGCACCCGCCGGCGTCGGCTCGCAGGGGATCGCGTCGGGGTCGTCGGGGTCGTCGGCGGCGAGGCAGTGGCGTTTGGCGGCGCAGTACTCGACGATCTCCGGCGGGAACTTGCCGCCGGGCTCCCACGGAGGAAGCAGGAGGTGCGGCGATTCGGAATACTCCGGCATCATGCGCAGCATCTGCAGCCGACGATGGAATCGCGCGTTAGAACGCTCGTGCGCGGATGAGAAAAACCCAGCAATCCGTGCATACGGTTCATCTCTTGATATAGTCATATATACGGATATATATATGACATCTCTATATACATATATACAGAGTGATATATGGTCACCTCTTGACATTCATCTCTTAATATAGGGGAATTGCAGGACTGGATCGGCTAGCCTAATGCCTTTACTACCATATATTGCGCTGGGAATCACTAACCTTGTGTCATTAGAAAAACCTGATAACACTATAACGAGTTAAAACTAGTTGCTCACTGCTAACATGGCTTCAGTTATCTTTGCTGAGGCCCTGGAAGATACACCTATACATGAGAGCAGTGAATGACCAAAAAAGTGGAAAAGTGTGTGATTCAAAAATTTGTCAGATTCAAGTCGTGCGTAGTGACACCTTTGTTAGGCGCAGATATGCAGATACGCAGTTGCGTACACATCATTTCAGCAACCTTCTGCATTCTGCATACCTCCCAAATCCCATTGGTTGATACAAATCGCGTGCCTGAAACTCCTGTTTTATGGTGCATTGTGACCTTAACCCTAACCCTAACCCTATTTAAAAAAAAAAAAATTGTTGTAAAAATTATTTGTTGTTAAAAATTGTTGTAAATAAATCATGTAAATATTTCCGTTAATTGGAAAAAAAATAGTTAAATGGATAAAGATAGAAAAATACAGAAAACAGGTAAATACTAAAAAATCTGATGGGATTCGATCCAACGACCTTTGAGCCATTACGCCTGTGCTGTAGGCGTTCGGCTACCCAGGCTTATTGGCTTTCTAGATTATGGATGTGCCATGAATATGAGAACACTGTGACATCATTGAGGCAGTTCAGGAATCCATGTTTAGCCCTCCTCTTGATGGTCAAAAGGTGATCAGACACTTACTATTCGCACGTCAGTGGAAAGCACATTTCATGCTCGTTTCAATAAAGTGATAAAAATGGTAGGTCAGCGCTGAAAGCAAAAAGTTTTTCACTGTGTCCATTAGACCATGTCCTCAGAAAATGTCGGATATCTCACCTTTCCCCCTGCCCTTTGACCTGTGACCTCCAATTTCGCTCTGGTGATGGGTTTCCTGCCCATCACACTATACACCAAATATTAAGAGCATAGGTCGAGCCGTTCAGATTTGTGCCGCAATTCCGTATCTCCTCCTATACATTAAGTTAAGAGGGAAATATTCCCCCTCCGTTTACACATCTTGACCTTTAATTGACCCTTGACCACCACATTTGTTATCCTGACTCCTTTTGACGATCCCCCCCCCCCGACGTCGCAAATATCGTGACCGTACGTCGAGCGGTTAAGATTTGTTCCCAACTGTTGACGCACGGATGGAGGGACGGACGCACGGACAATCATGCAATTCTACAAGCTGCATCTGACTTCGTCAGATGAGCTAAAAATGAACGCAGGAGAGCAATCCTGAGTTTTCCTGGGCATATAAAACCCCATTTAATTTGATAAAATTTCCTCCAGTTATAGGACCCAAAATTTGAATTTTCATATCTTAAGTATCTTAATTGTATCCAAGTAGATTACTAGCTTCTAGTATTAGCTAGGTATCTTACTAGGTATTCCAAATTGATATTAGTATCCCACATAGTGAACATAATGTGCCCACTCTCGTGGAAAATTTTACAATTTTAAAGCTAAACTGGTGCATTCTGAGAGTACCGGAGAATGGATTTAGAGTTGTCAATCTATTGGACTAACCTCAACCCCCCCCACCCCCACCCCCGCCCCACCCCACCCCACTTCGTTCACAACGGATCTACCCGAATTAAGCAATTTCTCATTATGCTTGGGAAAAAAATTTAAAAAGCGGAAATCCGCGATCCGCGAAACATTCTCATGTATGTACACCATGGAACCACACTCCAGTCGTGCTTGCCGCCGGGCTTCTTTATGACAAATGACTATTCGCATCTTCGAAAATGCTTCATAACGTAGGACATAATTCGTTATCACTAGAGATTTCCCTGATGTTTTCTAAGGTGATTGATTAAAGGGAATATGCAGGTTGTCGTGTAATCTATGTGCACCTATAATTCATGCATACCACTCCACTTACACGAACATAGAAGCTCACAAACCATCAAACCTTATGTATTATGGCACTACACATGTATTACTACGTATTCAGACATCACTGCTGCTGCACATTTGCCTACCACTGTCCAAAGAACATATGTAACGAACCTCGTATGGAACTAACAAGCATGTCCAACCGTACAACTGTACAACAACGTATCCAACCTCGTAAGGAATGTGTAAAACTGTTCAAAGAATGTGTACAGAACCTTGTAAGGAACGTGTAAGCACTGTCCAAACAACGTCTAATATTCACCTGCCTCTACCACACTGTATTGAATACCACGCACCTGTTCATCCTCCAGGTACTGACGATCCATTTCCAGACAGTAGAACTCGATGGGGAAGTCACGAAGGATTGCTGACTTTCACCTCTGCTCAATGCCGGCCGCGTTGGGCAGATGGGTGCAAACTCCAGCACGCGATGGTGAGAATTCCAGCTGTGGCTCCAGACCCTGCCCTGACAGCCTGAGTCTAGGGTACTCACTAGCAGTAGACGTCATCTAGCACCAAGGTCACCTGCTCTGTTAGCATTTCTGTAGAAGCGAAGTGGTTCATGACATTTTGAATGTTCGGTTAATATATATATTATTATTGTATCCCCTGCGATGAATTCGGCGGAGATACTATGGTTTCATGTCTGTCAGCCGCCGCGCGCCGCAGACACTTTCCCTCCTGCTCTATAACTCGACCCCTAATTGACCTAGCGTGACCAAACATAGTCTACTTACACATCTTGGGAGAAGGTGCGCAGCATACCAAAACCAGGTCACTACGACCTTTATTTGACCTACCTTGACCTTGATCATATTTCCCTTCCGCTCTATAATTCGGCCCAATTGACCTAGCGCTGCCAAATTTGGTATACTTACACATCTTGGGGAGAAGTATGGTGCGTACCAAAACCAGGTCACTACGACCTTTATTTTACCTTTACCTTGACTTTGATCATATTTCCTTCCGCCCTATAATTCGGCCCCCTAATTACCTAGCGCTACCAAACTTGGTATACTTACACATCTTGGGGAGAATGTGTGTCGCGTACCAAAACCACATCACTGCAGCTTTATTTTACCTTGACCTTGACCTTGATCATATTTCCCTTCCACTCTAACTTGGCCCCTAATTGACCTAGCGCGACCAAACTTGGTATACTTACACATCTTGGGGAGAAGGTGTGTCGCGTACCAAAACTAGGTCACTGCAACCTTTATTTGACATTGACCTTCATCATATTTCCCTCCGCTCTATAACTCGGCCCCTAATTGACCTAGCGCGAGCAAACTTCATATACTTACACATCTTGGGGAGAAGGTGTGTCGCGTAGCAAAACCCTAAGGCAACCAATTTTAACATACTTGCACATCTCAATCAGATGAGTTTGTGTAACAAACCTTTGTCTTTGTGACTTATTTAACTTTACCTACCTTCTACGTCCTTACAGAGATATTTCATTCATACTAGATCACGCGGGATACATATAGTGCCCTTTCTAGTTATAAGTAGTAGTAGTAGCAGCAGCAGCAGCAGTAGTATTAGTAATTGTTCGTCGTCATCAATAGACCCATTCTTTATCTTTTAGTAGGTATCACACACACACAAGATTTAATTGAGCTCACCTCTCGAGGGGTGTAAACCAGACTTGCACGTTTAAACGTTGACCAGGCTCAAGGCAGCCGGCGGATGGTGTGAATTCAAACATCAAAGGCGCTGGCATCTTTGCTCGAATCTTCTTCTTAATGTGCATAGGCATGTGCTTGTCTATCTGTGAATAGTATCTCTGGTAATTTATCACCATTAGCAGCTTCATCATCACATCGAATTATAATAAACATTCCTCAACATGTTATCACAAGACTCTGACCATATCAGGATTCCATTCTTAATCTAGTAATATGTCCATGAATAGAACATTTAGACAGTTTCCATCACAACAGTTACAGCAAATAATTAAATCATTGATGATGATCAGCTTATAATTCATTTAATTATTACTAATTAATATTTAATGTTAACTTTCTCTAAATGGTTCAACGTGAGATGTATGCTACAACCTAACACCCTAATACTTCGCAAACTTACCGGTGCGCAACTGCCAAGCAGATCATTATACAAACAAAATAAAAAATACATAATAAATAAATAATAATAATTTAATAATCTTTTTTTTTAAATATTAAAAATCATTAGAAATATGTTACATATATTAAACACAACAGTCAGCAAACTCAAAACAACGTAAACTAGCACGAACGAAGACCCGGCGGTTATAGCTCGTTACTCACGCTCCTTCTGCTGGAGCCACCGAGCACCGCCGACCACGAACAGGCGACCATGTTGTCATTGTGCAGCTGCAGTGTGACGACGCGCCGCTCGCCGACCTTGACCGAATCAAAGCGCACGTTGGTGGCGGAGACGAGCAGACGCGGCTCGGTGACGACTGCCGACAGATGCACCTGTAGTGATGCGCCTCCAGGTATCTACAGGTGAGTAAAGGTAACATAAGGGTGAATGCATCTATGCAATTTGTATAGGTATGGTCGTGGAATAAAAGGTTCTCTTGAATAACGATTGCTCAGCAAGATGGGTGATGCTCGTCGGCTAAAGATTACTGTAACATTTTACATCTCTATCGTATTGTTATATTGACAAAGAGCTAAAATCTACCTGCTTATGCATTAATAACAAATTCATTACTACACACTCATTAAATGATTAATAGCAATAATGATGTGGCATGATATGGCATAAAATGACATGACGTGCATGAGACATTGTGCATATTATACGTGTACATAAGCTCGCGCGTAGATAGAAATAATGCATATTAACACTTCTTATGTAAAACATACTTGGATGGGAATATCAGCCGTGTACTGGCCAAGTTCCACACTGTCTACCGAAGTGTCTAGAGTGATCTCTAGGTCGACTGTCTCTCCTACTGGTAGGGCTTTAACCCTTCGTGGATTCACCCTCAATTCCTGTCTGCCTCGTTCCATCCGGCCTGCATGGAAGGACACAGGAAAACTCCCTGTATTGGTTGCACGAATCCCTCCAGTGTGCACTCTGCCCTTGACGATGTAACCTAGGTCCATGTTATACCCGGGAAGCTTAACTTTCAGCACTGAGCTGAAATGTAATCACCAGGGACCAGTTGTCAGAAATAGAATTCGTCTTAACATTAACTTTTTCTCTTAGACTATTGACAGAATTTTGCTTATATGTTATGAGGAGATATGGCACAACTTTTCATTCTCGATCGTAACTGGCCCCATTCTGACGACCGGCCTCAAAAGGTTTTAGAACGTTAAAATTTACAAGAGCTTCATAAGTCTTGATTTTCATTTCACTTACATTTAGTTTCCAAAAAATGTACTTATAAATCTTCTACATCTAAAATGTTGCATTGATAATAACATACCGATTCACAATTATACACATTTAAATGCAGCAGATGAATAGAGTTTAGATAAAACAAAGAAAGAAGATTACCTTTGGCACTGCTGGTTATTTGTGTGTAGAACATCCTCAGGTTTAGGTTTGGTCTGTAATGCTTGCATAAGTGCATGCTCTCGCACAAGTAGATGCTCCACCTCAGATTGCTCTACTGCTTCCAGCTGCAAAACATACTCACTCAATACCATCTCTAAACTATCTTCAGTGCAATGATCCATGACTAATAGGCTGTACAAGCTTCCAAAATGAATTTTAAAATCTGATCAATGCACGGTGGTTAAAAACTCACCATTATTCATTCTTTATTTGCTAAGAAATACATTAATTTGCAGATCTTTACATTGTGTAATTCTAACGATGTGTCTTACCTCACTAGGTGGCGTATTTAATGGATGGTTTACTTTCTCCGCAACCATCTGGTATGGCTCAGTTTTCTGTCGAGGGAGATCCAATGTCAGCCGTTGGAACACTCCTTCACATCTGATAGTCACGATCTCTGGTTCGAAATGGCCCACCTGAATCTGCATAAATCATATACGACATATACACCCGTCCATTATATAGAAATACTCGCACATCAACATACAATGTTATGCAGCATTGATTGAAAGAAATTAGAATATATTTACAGTAGAGATTCACGTGAAGCTCCTTCAAGTGGAATCAATTGTGACGATTTTCGCCATATTTTATCTCTGCATTCGAGTTCATACCTTTACAGATTTGCAGAAGGAGTCTGGCACACCCGGCAGGAAATTCACCGTAAACACGCAACTGTCGTCTGCCGCTAAGAAACCACTGTTCGGTACAATGACAGATATGCCCATCTTGCTCCTTACATCATCCCTCCGTTCCTCATTCTCTGGATCTTGGACGGAGAAGTTGAAACCGACCTGACCAATGTTTCTCAAGGTCACCTCTGCAGATGACCACTGATCGAACATCTATGAGAAAGCACCAGTTAGTGTGTACTGTGACTGTACCAGAGACTGTGAGAGAGCACTCACTTCTCAAGCATCTGGACTCCAGACAATCTCTCAACCTAACAGACAAACCACTTTGGCACGAGTTTTCTTTCACACAATTTGTTTATACATAGGTGCATTAATGAGCACCTGACCCATCTTTTTCTACTCTCGAGAAGTAACTATAACCCATTACAGATTTCTTGTCCGAAATTCTCCACTCATGCTCTCCGCTTTCTAAAGTCATAACCTACTATAAAGAAATGATAAAATACAAAGAGTATTCCCCAATGGAAACAAGGTTCACACCTCCTTTCCATAATCGTAATTACTACTCCCACATGTCCAATGATATCCTTAAAACTGAGAGGAATTCCGAAACCATTCTTAGCTACTTTCCAAAGTCAGTACATACTCACAAGTGATAATTCGAAAACAACTATTCCCAAAACATAACAGAATACTTCAGAGAGAAGCAAAATGAAGAGCGATTGCCATTCGAAACCCCCATTCTTACCTGCTTTCTGAATTCCCTACATACTCACAAGTGATAATTCAAAAACAGGCATTCCCAAATCACAACAGCGTTCTTCGGAGAAAAAAGAAAAGAAGGAGCGACCGCCATTCGACCCCCCCCCCCACCTTCGCCCACGGTTCTTGCCTGCTTTCCAAAATCGATGTCCTGTCCGGTGAGTTCATAGCACATGTCCGAGGCGGCGCCGCTCAGCTGCAGCTCGTATGTCGGCCCGCCGTCGACCTCGCACGCAGCCAGTGCCGTAGCGACCACGTCCTCGTGTCCGAAGAAGCTGAGCGTGACTACGTCGCTCTCGCCCGGCTGCAGGCTCCCCCGCAGCGGCAGGATGTCGAACACCTGCTCGAAGCAGCGGGGAGAGGGGGAATATTCCCGTTACACGACGACCCGTGATTTAGTCAAAGGGCTACGCGGTAGAAAGGGCTTGAAAGTCGGTTAAACAATGAGTTAGTGGGCTTTGGGAAAGGGAAGAGGTTTAGGTAGTTTGTGGGGGTGAGGGAGGATCTTTTTTCTTGGAGGTATTGGTGTTTTGTTTCTGTAGCACTTTTAAACTAGTTTTTCGCAATCGTGTATACGGCGGCTGCGCTGCAAGCAAACGTGTGTCGGAAACGTATTCATACAAACCTCTGGAATGGTCAGCGCGCTGTTATCACAAACAACGTTCTCCCACAGCTGCATGGTAGGGCTGGCCCCCATGCTGCCTCCCCACCGACACACTGAACTCATCCTTGTGCTGGGGATCCTCTCAGGCACATCGTCAAATGCCACTCTTGCACGTTTCTGTGAATGGGAATAGGTTAGAACTGAGTATTCACTAACACACTAGTTATACTATGAGGAACGAAACGTACGTGCCACTACACAACGAAAGGTTAGCGTGAAAGGAAATACTAATGACATATACTAGTTTTAGGTCTGTGCTAGTAGGATGACATTAAAGGGACAGTAGCCTCTAGGATTTTACTGCATACAACTGTACTTACTGTATAACAAATCGTCTATATCCACACGTATTTGTTACCAGATACCTAATTTAATTGTTATAATAAATTACACATCAACGCTACGAAATTTGAACGGCGCCATGACACCCGCGACCGTGCTGCCACTCCGAAAAAGTTGCGTATTTGACAATTTATTTTGCACGTTACAGACCGAGGGCTAATCACAAAAAGTGCAATTATATTTATACCTAAATGCTATTTAACCGAACGATATTCATTTTAGGGCAAATTTATCCATATTACAACTAAAACTATATGTCGTTTATAAGATATTACAATCCTTTTGCTTTTAAATGAATAAATAAGAAACACCCTCGGTCTGTAGCCCTTGGCTGAAAAATGGTTTTGCGCAACTTATCAGATCGTGCGCTTTGAGTGGCGCCACCGTCGTTGTAATCAAACTGTAGTTGTTAGTTTTAAAACATTTTTAAACAATATTTCTAATGGTGATTGAACCATGAAACTTCTTATGTAGCATAATTATAACCTAAATTAGCTGAAAATAACCCTATAACCTAGAGTAAACTCTCCCTTTAAGCATGTAGTAAAATGACATTAGCTGATGCATTACTGTAGGTTTAGCTGCTCCAGCATTAGCAACATTGGAAACAGATGTCCCCTGCTCAAAATCGCCAGTTGCTTCCCTCGCCTTCTCCTCCTCTTCTTCATTCTCTTCCCCCTTGTCCTCCTCTCCTTCCTCATCCTCTTCGCTATCGGCCAGGTCGATCACAATCTGTGGAGGCGAGGAGCACCGCGTGACGGGGGGCGTGCCGGCTCGCGCGCGCGTGATGCCCGGGTCGTGCGGGTCGACGTGGAACGACCATGCGTAGCTCACCGGCACGGGGCTCGTGTTGGTCACCGTAACGCGCCGCGTCGTCTCCGTGCCGTTCAGCACGCAGCCGAAGTCGACGGCGCGCCGCTCGAAGCGCAGGTTTGGGAAGCCGACCTCGCCGCGCAGCGCCACGCTGTCGACGTGCGGATGCTGCGCGTACGTGACGGTCAGCGAACTCTCGGCGACCCTGCTGTGCCGGTCGTCCCGGTACGACGGGTCGAAGCGCACGGCGACGGCGCGCGACGCCCCCGGCTCGAGCGCGAGCGTCATCTCGTGCGTCGTCTCGTCGTCGGCAGCAACAAGGCCGAACGGGTGGTCGGCGCGTAACCGCGGCGACAGCAACAGCGACGAGACGTTCTCGAGGACGAGCTCGCGCGTCTGTACGCAGAGGGCGCCGCCAGCGGGCAGCCGCACGCTGAAGAGCAGCTGCTTCGTCGAGAACGCCACCAGGGGGCTGACGAACTCGGCGCGCACGTCGACGGCCATCACGCGCTCCTTGCCGCTGCAGCGCCCGATGATCGCGTGGCAAAGCAGGCGCTCGGCAGCCGCCAGGGGGCGCCGGCTGAGTGCGACGAGTTCGACGTCGGCGCTCTCGCCCGGCTCGAGCATCAGCCGCGTCGGCGCCATCGCGAAGACGGGCGGCGGGGGCGCCACCGGCCGCGCATCGCCGCGCACGCGCACGGGCAGGTGGCCGGCCGTACTCCACGTGATCTGGTGGTGGCGGCGGCCGCGGTTCGTTAGCCGGTATTTGCGCGAGAGCGGGAAGTTGCTGAAGTGGTAGCCGAGGTCGGCAACGGGTCCCAGCGGTGGCTCGGACACGATCGTTGTGCCCTGACCGATGGCCGAGGTCGGGATGGTGATCGACTGACCGTTCTCGATGTCGATCTGGACTCTGTCCTGAAATCTGACAAGACGAGACGACGATTGACGACGACGAGTTCGTCATTACTAACTCAAGTAATAATCAACACGTAAATATTATTCGTGTACGTAATGATACAAATAACGTAGTTAATTTGATGGTAATCGACAACTTTTCATACGTTTTCTTATCACTATCGTACCAGCGTAACATGTTAACGGTTGCAATAATTTCATTTGATTTACAGTAGAGGAATAATTCAATATTTGCTAATTGCAAAAAGCAATTTCAATAAATTTAACCATGTTCCTATTTCATTTAAGTCCCCATATACATAAACAGGTTGGACCTCACTAGTCTGGCATGGGCTGGGTCCGGCCGAATCGGTGGTTCAGAACAATGATTTTACTCTGGCCAGGTCTTATAACATGTCTAACCTGTACACACACACACATAAAAGTGTTAGACTACTAGATAGATGATATATACATTACTATATGATGTGGCTCTACCAACTCTCCTATTATATGCATGATATATATATATATTGCATGCACAGACTCACCGGACACTGTCATCCAGGTACGCAGTTATAGTAAGCTCCAGCGATTCGCGTGGATTGACTACAGCGCCATCTGGGTTTATCTTCCATACCGAGCCAGGCCGCAACTGTAAACAACAGTACGACAATCATTGCCGACACATGATGCTCCCCATGGTGACTAACTGTTGCATCAGCCACAAGGTCACGACAAGTTATTTTAGATGTCACTCCAGATAAATGCATACATAGAGGAGTGCGTTTCATCACGATCCTTGATTTATATATTATATATAGCATATTATATTAGAATTTATATAATTTTTATCAATGATTTCAATGATTAGCTGACAGAAGCATTATGTCTTACCATGTAAGCAACGAATTCTGCTGGAATTAGAGATTCATTTGATAATGTGACAGTCTTCTTGATGTGTGTGAGCACAGGAGTAACGCCCCAGTCCAGTGACAGGACCGAGCAATGTACCACGGGACCTTCTCCAATACAGCACAACTTGGCTTGCTAGTCAATCACAACATGAGTACAAGACATTATAGCAGAAGAAATAATTTCATTTCATAATACACAATTTACATCATCCAATCTATCAAATATTTAATTATATGAAACTACTAGCAACCTGGCATAGTTGGTGTTCAGCATACCAAGTACTGATAATACTACGCAGGCATTCAACAACATCAGATCACAATAAAAAAGTGAGATGGCATTCCTAAGGGAAGGCGCAAATTTCGCATGTGCATGCAAGCACTAATGCTGACAACAAATTTTGGTTTTGCTCACCAGGGGCGCTGCCTCAACACCATCGACCTGTACAGAGACGATGGCAGATACAGAATCCAGGCTCTTCATCTCAAACACTATCGGTACTGCTTTTAGAGATAGCGGTGGTATTTCACCCTAAATAATAATTTTAAAAATTTTTCTCGAAGCAGTTCCCGAACGGATGGGAGAACTGATGCAATTCTCGTACGAATGGACCGAATTCTGTGGCACGATAAAAGAGACTGAGCATGAAATTTCTGGTGTTATAAATTTTAATATATATATAAATAGATACAAATATTGAGATGTAAACGAGAATACATAGGAGTGCAAAAAAATGTAACTTTAGTGTCATTAAAAGAACATGTCCTCCATGATAACGAACATATGATTAATTACAGTTCGCTGGCTAGGGCACCTTTAACGTAGATATTGGGGGGGGGGGGCACGTTCGCGTACCTCCGGCTCAGCACAGGTGTATGTGATCTCGTCTAGATGCTGGTTCTGTGCACGAACGCTGTATCTGCCAGGAAGGTTGCTGCAGTTTCTCAGCTGTATTGCACAGCGGTATGGACAGCCGATGAAGCAGCGACCACACTGTACTCTGCTATCCACTACCTCAATGACAGGCACAACAGACCTGAAAGACGAACAAACAATTAATGCATGCGGGAAGCTGCTATGTGGATGGTGGAGTGACAGGGTAGACAGACCTGCGGTAAGGTGATACGGTGATGAAATTCATACGTTGCAGCAAAATCTTCAGCAATACTAAAAGTAGTGTGATTTTTTCGTCTTCGTTTTCTTATACCACTTGTTGCAAGAATTCGGCCTCTACAAGTGGTATGTTCTGCAAGTGGTCACCTATTAAATAGTCTACCCACTAAATAGCATACCTAGCAGAAATTGGAAGAGCCAGCATATCTGATCCGATTTCATCGACATCCACAACCAGTGATGTTTCATATTTTCTGATGTTCTTGACAATCAAACTCACCTAACGTGGCCAAGAAAATTAAATTGTCATTCACACTGGCTAGAAATCCCCACTTTTAGATTACATCTCATTACAATTGAATCAATAATGAATATATATATACATTCATGATTACATATATATAGCAGTGTAAGAATTAGTTAATACATCCACAGCTGTATGTAATGCATAAGATTAATTCATATTCACCTTTATATTTTCTGAGCTTTGTGCTGCAACAGAGCCCGTAGATGGCGCTACTGTGAACTCGGCGTCTTCGTCTTGAGAAATTCTCAGGTTGAATTTCATGGCCACTAGGGACGTGTTGAAGAGTTTCACAATAGCTGTATTCTCAAAACCTAAGAATAGCATTCAATTTACATGCCTTTACTTGGTTGGAGAACATACAGAGTTATTAAATAGTCAGTTTTCTCACTACTATATTACACAAACTTTCAACAAGAATCTCTCTAGTTATACGTCCGTACATGCACAGATAGTTTTATTCTTGTGTAATCGCTATACAGTGCTCAATTTTAAGGTTTTTTTGGGGTTGTCCGGAGGACAACCAAGAGACCCAAAAGGGTTGTCCCTCAAGAGTTTTGGTTGTCCGGATATTATTTAAACATGTGCTGCATGCGCTCTGCTCACGTGATGCTCAGTGCTGTAAAGCAAAAGGCCTAATCATGTACATTTTGTACGTATTGCAGTGACAGCAGACACGGCCATTCGCATTGTTTCACTCATTATATGAAGATAATAAAATATTGGTAATGTGTAAATGATGCTGGGATCAATGACGTATAATAATAGTAATTAAAAGTTGCATAAAATTTATTTCATAACATTTACATTAACTACTAACATTACACTACTAACATTAATAACATTACTAACACTGTGTCATGTCACAGCTAGATGAGCAAAAATTGAAAATTAACACGAAACAAATTGTGTTGTTAAACATGTAATGTTATACTTTGTATCAAGCAAGCCAGACAATGCGTATAGACATGTACGTTTGCAGCGTATTGTGCAACCCTGGCCGTATGTAAAATGAACGCGCGCATTATGAATATAAATTTTTTATAGAGGTTGGACACCGGACAACCACGGAAGCAATTTGTAGTTGCCCGAGAGAAAATCCAGTCGTCACGGACGACCGGACGACTGTTAAAATTGAGCCCTGCTATATATACCATAGGAGACTTTTCCAAAATCCAGCACTGATTTGTCAAAGTGGAATGAGGGTCCAATCACTGTTCCCCTATAAAGCGGAATGATAAAATGTGCGCTAGTAACTACAGATTCATTGTCGACATCATTCACATAAACGTATTTTAATAATCCACTTATCAAAACACTAACTACAAGCTGTGATACCGGCAGATGTCTGTCCACCTGCAACTCGAGCACGCTGTAACACGTTCGAATGGCGTGACGGAGCAAGGTGGCCACTGAACTTACTTGAACGAAATGCGAAGTGGTTCCTCGCAGTTGTTCACGGCCAGGAGGAACTCTTCGGCGAATTCTCCTAGTGTCGAACACGTGAAGACGACGAGGACGGATTGATAGTTCTTCGGCTGGATGACGGCTTCAGCCGGCACAAAGCTAAAATGCTTACCAAACGTCGACGTGGAGGGCAACCACGAGCAAGTTGCGTCAATGTCGCCCTTGTTCGCCAGCACCACCTGGAGGCAATCGACGTTATTACACAAACTGTAACATCACTCCTGGCTATTACAAGCAAAACGAATCAATAATCGACAACCTTTCGTCGCGTTTGTACATACCTACACGTTTTAGAAATGTATGCACAAGGGTTGATGGTTTTCAGTTAATATTTGTAAATTAGAAAATAAGTTAGTAACATCAATTAAGAATTCCGTGGCAATATCCTCACATACACGTTACCGTGGCAACATCCTCACATACACGTTACCGTGGCAACATCCTCACATACATGTTAGGTGTATCATTCGGAGCTACCCAACTTTCAGTCTTTTCCATATTTAATCAGGACTACTCAATACACCCTCATGTGTACTCCCGATTCACCATGCCGTCCGATTGAACCTTACTTCCCTTACACAAGCAACACTTTACCCTGATCTACGACGATTACCTCGTACGAGTGTCTAGAACCGATGAAGACCTTGCCAACGTCTACCACATCGTACGACAGCTGCACCTTGGGTCCGACGCCTTCCCCCGTCATGCGCAGTGGAAGGCGGGACTCGCGACCCGTGACCTCGCAGTACGCGATGGTCGTGCACAGCCGGGCGGCCCGCGGCGTGAACGTCACTGTCACGTCCGCGCTCGAGTTTGGCCAGATTTCTCCCTGCTGGGGGCTGACGGTGAAGGCACTGTGGGTGAACAGCATGCTGTCCCCCTCGACGATCTAGAACACACACACACACACACATGCCGTTCGAGATGAATCACAGCTTAGCCTAGTTTCCCATCATGTGCTTCACTAAGAATTACATGACATTTATCTTGCTAAACTACAGTTTTGTTGAAGTTCGCGTGAACTGGTCCTGTGGTATCCTGGTATGTGGAAAACACTGACTCACATTCTTTCGTGTACAATATAGTGTGCTACGTTAACACACTGTTGAAATATATGATAGGGTCATAACAGACAAACAAGAGAGAAGAGACAACTCTGACCCTTTTTCGGTGTTGGTAAGTGCGGCTAAGCACAGGCAATTGACTGATCATGGTGGGGTCCACTTGGCATTCTTGCATGAACTGGGAGAGCTCAGAGGTTTCAGAATTCTCCAGTTCTGCATAGAATCTGCAACCGTAAAACACATAACTAACACAAACTGCAGTTCACGTGAAAATCCGCAAAACTAAAGAAGCCGTTAGACAGTCGACGATATCCACGGCATCAACCCCGAAGCGACTGCTTCACTTGCTATGCCTTTGCCCCATAAATCCCAGGTAGCATAAGTACCCCCTCTTTCATCAACATAAAAGTGCTCGTAAAAAATAATTGTTTTAATACCACTTCTTCGAAAACATATGACTTGATATGCCCTCCAACTTACCGTACCACTTTAAAATCTCCGAATAATCCGAGGGCAACACTTGCCTTGCCCCCCGAAAAACTAAAATCGACCCCCGAGAAGGACGAGCACCGCGGCGTGTGATCACCTGTTCTTCTGCAGCTCTTCCTCCTGAGGCGTGGCGTGCGGCTTCCACTGGTAGCGCGCGATGAAGCCGCTGCGATTGTGGATCGTCACCGTGCGCTCGCTGCTGCGCGACACCGACGTGCTCTCCATGCGCACTGAGCTCCTGTCGAGGCGCACGTTGGCATCCGCCGCGGAGCCGTGCAGCATCACCCGCACGCGCTCGCCTGCAAGCACGCCGCCGGTTACCGTCACAGACGTGCGGGAACCGTGTCGGGGACACGAGGACCGAACACGTGACGTCCGCGTGTTTTTTTTTTTTAACGAGTAGTACAGGAGTACGAAAAAGAAGTAGAACAAGTATAATATAGAAGTATAGCAGTAGTAACATAAGTAATAGAAGTACAGGTCCACAATCTTTTATCGGAAACCAATTTGGGATTTGGAAATTTCTGATTTCAGAAAGGTATAGTACGATATATGCACGTACCGTATATTACGGTAATAGCATATAGCGGACGTCACTGGGAGCACCCCGTAAAGAAATCATTCCTATTTCGGTAGCGAATCTTATGAATATGCACACTGAGTATGATAAATAAAGACTGAAGCATCATAGTATATTTAGCATTAGTCTATTACAGTTTATCTTTCATGCCGTACACACGGAATAGCGGATAATAGATTTTGGATCTGTATGTGCATGTGTTTGTGTGTCAGTGCCATGCTACAGGCTACTGGAATACTATATCGGTATACTAGCTGAACAATTGTTATGAAAGTAATAATAACAGAGAGAAGGAAAGGAGGAACTGCTCAAACTAAGCAATAGCTTGCCTGTATCATAGGACACATCCATCCAGCTGGAGTGGTCGCCCGCAAAGCTCGGTGTAAACTGTATGGTTACTTGAAGGGAGTCACCCTCTGCAAGCAATCCGGTCGATGGCTCAACGGAAAAAGGCCTGTAAATTAAACATCATGCTCGAATTGACCATAACTTATTCACTTCAGATTGGATAGTCACAAAGACGTCGACCTCACTGTTTTAGGCGCGCTTACGAGTACAGAATGACATGTTACTCTGCACGTTCTCTCTAACACATTTCCAAACCGATTAACAGGGAAAAGAAACTCACTCATCATGCAAGACATGCTGAAAAATTAGGAAACACTGAAACACTGAATCTGAACTTTCGCGAAGATTTCACATGCCCAGCGGTAGACCGGCAGCCCTACCTGTCGGCATGTGCCGAGAACTTGGCCTCGCAGCGGCCAATGTTGCGCAGGAGAAATGTCTTGCTGGCCGGATGCTTGACGGGAACACTGGGGAACTGGACGACGTCAGGGAAGTCTAGCACTGCACGTGGACCGATCGCCCTGATTGGGATCGTGAATGTCTCTCTATCGGTGCGACACACAAGCTCGTGGCTGTAGTCCTGAGCAAATCACACACACGCACCCACGACTATCATATACCTCGCTTACTATACGTTTCTGAGGCACGTCAGCTATGTGAATCTACGTAACGTGCTAAACGGCCTTATTATTACAGCGTGCTTACAGAGAGGTTATAGAGGCTTTGCATTATTTAATGCAAGGCATAAGATGGGAAACTACGAAGATGGCTGAGGAGAGAGTATAGTTAGTTCTTTTCAATAATGTTGGACTAAATGTTTGTGGAATGAAACTAGACTTACTATTAAATTGTTTATTAAATAATTGCAAATAATTTTCTTTGTCCATTAAAATAAAATCTACTGAATGAGGTATCATTAAGCGAGTTATGCCACCGTATATCTGTGGTTTAAAAAGGCAAGACATCCTGCCTGTTTCCTGAAGTTCAACAGCGATCGATATTTTGCTCGGACACAATGACAGTACAAAAATATTTATAGGGTGAATTCACAAAGAGCTCAGATATATTTCCAAGCTAATTTCACACCTTGAGGCGATCAGCCAAATACCAGCTGTGATATGCTCATATATGCATATTCATTGATTCTCTGTAGATACCTTGTTCTCCTGTGCCGTGAACCTCACAGAGACTGATACTGTCATCCCTGGTGCTACTTTCTGTCCAGAACCACCATGACAGATGATTTTGAAATATGGTGAGTCTGCTAGTGTCACGTGCACTGATCTGCCAACCTTAGGTAGAACATATCAAACAAGCATTTGAAATACGTAGAATAATAACATGAAATGTATTAGAGAAGCCGCAGTATCTTTTTAGTGCCTCTTACCTCGGATGGGTAAAGTGTGGCAGCCAGAGAAACGATTTCATACACATGTCATCGCGTACCTTGTCCCTGTTACGGAGCATGAAGGGGATTTCATACATCTCGCATGGCTGAAAGTTCTGGAACACAATCTCTGATGGTATTGGTTCAAAACCAATGTTGTCATTCCTCCCCTGCAAACAAAATGTATACATACATACAAGATTATAACTATGAATATAATCTATAAATGACATTAGAGGAGAGATAATTGGCACGTTAAATAACAATATTCTTAATCATTCAATATAGGTAGGCCCTTTAGCAACATGTATAAAAGAACATCCTCCACTTACACTTGCATCCCCAGTCTGAATTATAAATCTCTGTGACTGTGTACGTGACTGTGTTAGTAGTGCAAGTCTGTCATGTGTAGTCAGAGACATCTGCTGCATGAAGGCAGAAGGGGTCATGTGCTGGAAAGGTAATTGAAAATCACATTGGAAATGGGATAATATAACAATATATCTCAACATATTATGAGTATTTTATTACTATTATTTGTCATCCTACTAATAATGAAACAAATTAAAGATTTTTTTTTTATCAAATTATACTATACTCACCTTTATGTTACTAATTCACTATACACTTCATTACTATACCCACTACTACGATTTATATGCAACTGTCTTCCTTTTTAAATTGTAGTGTGTGCGTGCATGTATGGTGTGTGTGTGCCTTATTCCAGTACCTCACTGTCTTCTGAAGATTTGTTTGGATTTCCACATTTCTGCATGCTCAGGCTTTGGCCCATCAAACCTGGTGGCACATATGTATTATCTGCATCTCCCATCATTCTGCCGTCCTTGATTATGCACGGATAGAGAGTAATTCTCTGCCACTATGCATTCGCTGGCAGGATACGTCCTTCAGACTAAAAATAATGTAATTAAAATCACATAAAAACAGTTAGGATAGTGCCTAGGTTTGAACAAATGCTAGGAAATACTCACCACAGTATCATGTAGGTTCCTGAGCCATGTTTTATTAGGACATGCCATTAAGTACTGCCTTAACCCTATAACTATATAAAAGATGCAACTGGAAGCCACGTGACTCAACCATTGGCAACTGGTATTATGGAACATAGTACACCCTATGTCAAAATTCCCCATTGATATGTCGTGAGCAATCATATGACATGTAATTGTGCATAAATAGAAGAACCCAGTCACTATACTCAGGACTGTAGCTAACAGAGCACAAGGGGGAATCCCCCCTCCTTCATTGTAGACACTGTTCCATGGTCAATGGCAAATTGTCCATAATTAAGTCACCTAGCTGCCCAGAGAAAACAGCCTGCCCATGGCTTTGCATCCAAGAAAAATTGGTACGGTACAAGGATGCCCAAGAGGCTATATATATATGCCCTGATACTGATAGTGTGTTTACATGTCAACAATGATTTATAAATTATAGCGATGAGAACCTATAACTGCAAGTATAAGTTCAATGCTGATCTTGTGGTATTTTGAAACTTCGTTGAAATTTTTCTTCAAAGTCCAGTGCCCTAGGACTATATCAATGAATGACTTAAATTACTTTGATGAGTTCTAATCTACCTAATTCTCACAAATTTATCTCTTGATGTTGTCTGCTATTGCATGTCTACCACTGCTAATAATTCTGGACTTGCTTCCAGTCACAATCTCGACATAACTATATAGGGCCATTAATTTCATTATTATGACGTGGAATCACACGATGATTGCACATTGTTATGATTGTACTTTAGGGCTGGCAGAATTGGCCACAGGCACTTGGAGCATCTCAGTAAAGAAAAATCATGCTAAATAAACACGAAATGTATTTACTACCAGTCTTAATGTTTCTCTATCCTTTTCGCTTATTATTGCCAATAATTTCCTGTAAATGCCGTTCAAATCAAATGCTTTATATACACTTATACATAAGCGTAAAAATGCAGCGGCGTAAGTCACTAAGTGCGGTGTACGTGTGTTGCATGGGAGCATTTGAACGGAATTTACAGGAAATTATCGGCAATAATACTAATAGGGCTGCGAGTGAGAGGGTCTATATGTCACCCAGGGTACTGCCGGAACGTACCCTGTCCCTGGGTACGGTCTGGTATACCGGAACGTACCCTGGTACTATCTAATAGTAATATGCCGGACCGTACCTCACCTACTCCAGTAACGTAACGAGTCTAGGAAGTCGCCTACACCTACTCCCTAACCCTAACCATATCAGATAGTTAACCAGGGTACCCGGTGTATACGTTCCAGACTCCAGTATACCGGACCGTACCCAGGGTACGTTCCGGCAGTAACCTGGGGGACATAGACCCTATGAGTATGAGTATGAGCAATAATACTAATAGTAATACGCCGAAAGAGAGGGCCAAAGAGGGCTGGCCTAAAGAAACAAAAATAGGGGTAGTAAATAGGGTACATTTCGTGTTTATTTAGCAATATTTTTCTTTATTGAGACGCTCCAAGTGCTTGTGGCATTGGCGTATATGATCATGTACAAATGAATTTGTACACAAACTTGTAAATACAACTTGTACTTTTGTAACTTGTAATTGTAGGTATGTATTACCTAGTATTACTATTAATCTATTATTTTATAAATCACTAGGTCCTAAATCAGTGAATGGCTAATCAGTGAATCAATCAATTAATGAATTTGAATTTTCTCACTTTTTATTGTATTGGCAGTGTCACTGGACGGTTACAGTAAGATACTATTAATTTATAACATGTTATAAATTGCACTGTCACAATGACGCCTACTACACTAAATTTCATACTTATTTTAATTTACGGCGACAACGAACATGACCATCACTTTCGGAAAAGTTTTGATGTTGCTAGCCACGCCGGTGACGTTTGCAAATCGTGTTTTTCATTGGCTACTGAAACTAGAAAAATATTGTATAAGTACGCTGCCACTACGATAGAAGGCTATGATAGCCACTACGATAAAGGTGTAGTATAAACTTAAATAAATCTAATTTATAGAACACTAATTTCGTTTTATTAATGAGTTTTGCGTTTAATTATAGTACAACGTACAGCAAAACAGCAACTGCTAGGCCTACTGAACTATATAATGTGCGGTAACGTCACAGCAACCGGAATACGTGATTCGCCGAAGGCCCTTCGCATCCGCTTTTGAGTTTTCGTCAGTTTCAGTTGCGCACATTTTTGTAGAAATTAACAAATTTAAACATGAAACTTTATTCGTCAGAGCATATATTTAGGTATGTTTTTATAAGTTTATTACAGTTAGTTTGGGTAAATACATAAATTTATTTACAAAGAACCCTAAACTTCAACACGCTGTACTGTAGAGTGTAGGCCGTGACACAGTTTATCATGTTATTGTTAACGCAATGTCCAGTGACCTTCACCTCTGACGCAGTAGTAATTAAAGTATAATAAAAATAGGATCGCGTATAACGAAAGTTATTATTTCCAGAAAATTTATCCTAATGCCAAATGGTCGCAAAGTATGCCCAGGAGTTGTATGTCAGAGGCTTTACGTTGTAACTTGTATGTCAGAGCTGATTTGGCGCAAAGGCTTGGAACGTCTCAATATTGACAATAATAAAAAGGTAAATAAACACGAAATGTATTTACTACCAAAGTCTTCATGTTTCTCTACTCTATTTCGCTTATTATTGCCGATAATTACCCGTAAATGCCGGCCAAATGCTCATCTGCAACACACAAGTACACCACGTGCCCGCCCTGTGCACAAACAACATGAAATGTGAATAAGAGAGCAGGTAGGAAAGCGTGATCGCAAAATTTGCTCGACGCTCGCTTTATTTAACACCACAGCACGAATACACATCCAACAGCTTCATCTTGTTAGGCTCTAGAACTATAGGCCCGGCTCCGTCCGCCGCAGAAACATTTCCGGCAGGATTTCACGAGATATCTCTGGCGGGAATAGGTAAGAACAAAGGCCAGAGTTATAATTTGAACAAGTGAACATTTAGCTAGACATAGTACCGCAAGATTGAAAGCTGTTGGATGTGTTATTCGTGCTGTGAAGGTGTGAAATGAAGCGAGCGTCGAGCGAATTTTGCGATCACGGCTTTCATACCTGCTCTCTTATTCATGTTGTTTGTGCACAGGGCGGGCGTGCGTGTTACTTGTGTTTTGCAGATGAGCATTTGACCGGCATTTACGGGTAATTATCGGCCATAATAGGCAAAAGAGAGTAGAGAAACATTAAGACTGGTAGTAAATACATTTCGTGTTTATTTACCATTGTTTTTTTTTATTGAGACGTTCCAAGTGCCTGTGATTTGGCGGATGGGTCCGGTTCGCCGCCCGAAGCAGTATAACTTCAAAAACAAGAATTCACTGCTTAAATTTATGTCTCTGACATACACGCCTATAGGCATATTTTTTGACAGTTTGCATTAGCAGGGCTCGACCTTAACTTTTTTTTTCAGGTGGCCGCCGGGCACTTGAGTATGAAGATTCAGGTGGCCAAATGGATTTTCAGGTGGCCCAATAATTTATTTGTATCTCTAATATGGTAATGTGTTTGGCAAATAATCGCAATAACATAACTAGATTAGGCGACAACAACAAAGAAAGAACAAAACCCTGACTGAGTTAAATAAGTTTCAAATATTAAAAAAGCTTTCAAATTCTCTGGCAGTATCTTTATTAAGTAGCAGAACTCATGCGACATGTCATAAGATGTCAATAAAACTGTCTTCAATCATTCAATGTCAGTGTGACTGTCATCTGAACCTTCTGATGAATCAGAATCAATTTCTGACATGGGGTCAGACCCATCAGAGTCTGGCTCAGCTGCTGGTCTCTTTTGCACCCATTCTGGCCTCCGTGATCGATTCCCCGAAGTATACCACAGGTTGACGGCTGGTATAGGGTCAAATTGTGCAACACTTGGGGAATGAAGAATGATTAGAATGGAGTCGGTGACACTTGCATCCTTGAGGGAAGTGCGGAGAGAGCTCTTCACCAACTTAAGGCGGCTGAACCCGCGCTCTGCTTCTGCTGAGCTGCTGAATACTCAGCAGTAGGTGCCATCAGTGCGCAGATATTGGGTAACTCCTCCTTGAGTTTCAGGGATGGAGTGTGCCCACGGATGGTCCTTTCTGTTCTTCTTGGCATACTCATTCTTGCTTGAGTAAGTCCCACTTTACACCAAGAGCGTCGACGACTGACTACCCCAGCATCCTTCAGCACTGCTTCAAAGTGGTGGCGAAGAGTCTGCACTGCTTCATCCCCAAAGTCCTCATCAGCTTCATGTTCTTGTGGCCAGAATGTGAAGCTGAGGATCTGCATTGCTGGCCAGCACTTCATCATTCATGTCAAGCATCTGCCAAGCAAAGAGCTCTCTAGGCCATCTACCTAACTGCACCAGTCCTGCTTCAATGTTGTCACTCCTGTCAACTCAAATTCCGCCACTATGGAAAGTGTCATCGAAGTTTTGCAGACGTGGTGATGATTTCTTTGCTCCTGTATTTCTTGAGGTTGTTTAATTACATGTCTATAGATGCAACCACATCAACGACAGTGGACTGTGATCGCTGTGCTGTCAGTGAACACTTTGAGGACGTCGTCACAACATCCAGCATAAAGTGTGCAAAGAAACCCATCCTTCCGTTGCAGCTGGCTTCAAGTACCCTTTGCTTCGCTCTGGCAATCTGTTGTTACTCCTGGTTGTGCTTGAAGCTGATGCAGTTGAGTTGTGTGGCATGGTATCCGCCCTCAGGAAATTCTCCAGAGCACGTTGCAGTGAGGTAACCACCGTGTCCTTTCCAACCCTGGTTGGGAATAGCTGTGGGACTCCACGGCATCTGCTGCCTCTTTCAGTGAGCTTCTGTTCTTGGAGCTGTTCTTGTAGAAGAGATACAAGTTGAGCAGTAGCGAGTTGGACAGTATTGCAGAGAGAGATATTCTTGACTGCATCTTTGAATGCCAGCTCAAGCCTATGGGCATGCAGTGCACTGCTTGTAGGGGCTGGACTGAGCTCTTCAGCCGAGAAGCCACTCCTCCTTTCTTCCCCAACATCACCGCTGCCCACTGCGAACAAAACCTACCAGCTTTTTGGCTAATGGAAGCTCTATCCACTTGTAATCTCTCTGACAGTGAGTGAAGATGGCCTCAGTGATAGACTATGGCATCAGCAGTAACAACTCCCACAACTGCCACAAACTCATTGTATACCGAGCCGTCACAAGCATGACGAAGGTAGATGATTTCGTCTTCAGTCACGGACGCATCAGTCGTTCCATCACTGATAATGGAAATAAACTTCGACTGTTGAACACGCTTCATCATCTCCCTTCGCTCAACCTGAAAAAAAAGTTTCAATCAGGGATAGGGCAGCAGGTCATTTCCCGTCATGATAATTCAAGGTAAAAATTACAATCGATGGTTATGTATTATTTTTGTAGTGACTAGTATTTGTGATATCTTAAAAAAAACAAATGTATTTTTATCTGGACCCCTATGAAAACCAGCTATGCTGATAGGGCGCTCCGCCCATGTGATAAAATTTAAAAAAAATACTCTAGTTGTACACATACTAAGAAAAACCCACACGCACGCACGCACGCACACACACACACACACGAAATCAGTTAAGAAAGCTTGAGAATTATTCTATAATCAAAGCTTGAAAAATTATATTATAGACAAAATATATAACAAATAAACCCACTTCTGCAATGAAGCTGGTGAAGATTCGAGCTATTTGTCAGTTCGATAAGAGAGCCAACATCCAGCCCTTTGGCTTCATCCAACGACGTCATCCACACGAAGTCAGTGAATGGTCGACAGTGCTTCGCCATCGCATGCGCGTTTCGGAAGAGGATTACCAGACGATCCAGAACTTTCTCGTTCATCTTCTGAACCATCTTCTCCGCCTTCGACGTCCCTGGTAATGCCTCTCTGGCGGCCTTCATTTCTAGGCGCGCCGCGATGGTTATCACTTTCGTCGTGTCTCTTGTATCGAGTAAGTTTGAAGGTGTCAGTCCATCATGAAAGATATTCTTTCCTTTCCCTGTTTCTCTGTCATTTTTATCTCTCTAACAATTCGGCAAAAACATGACGCCATTGTCGTCGTCATACGCGAGCCACTTGAACTCCCGCTCCCACTCTTTTCTGTAGCTGCGCTTTCTCTTCTCCTCTTCATACTCTCGATCACCTTCCCTTTTTCTTTTGTCCCTGTCTTCTTTGGGGTTTGACAAAAATCGCCACATCATAAAATCAAATATCGTAACCAAAATCAAAGATGAAACAACACTCTGTACGCACAAATTAATTGCGCAACGAACCAACACAGCTGATGGGTAGCGAATGGATTGCACGTGCACTACGGTTTTGATTTAGACCAAGTAAAGCATTGTTTCTTATTTCAATTCACTTTCTTAGAATCTGCTTCCAGTAAACCACACGTACACACACACGCGCACGCGCACGGGCACACGCACACACACGAATGCGAAAGTAAAACACGAATGCGAAAGCGAATAGATTGCACGTGCATTACGGTTTTGATTTAGACCAAGTAAAGCATTGTTTCTTGTTTCGATTCACTTTCTCAGAATCTGCTTCCAGTAAACCACACGTACACACACACACACACACGCACGCACGCGCACGCACACGCACACACACGCGCACACACGCGCACACACACGCACGCGCACACGCACACGCACGCACACACACACACACGTACACACACGTACACGTACATGTACGCACGCGCACACGCACACACACACGTACACGTACACACACGCACACGCACACACACACACACACACACACACACAACGCGCGCGCGTGCGCGCACAAGCACACGCACGCATACACACACATCGCAACAGTGTTAGAGCTTAAAATAAAACCTACTCGCTAAACTGGGCGAGTGAGTCAATAAGTTAACTCGCCCAATCACGGAATCTGTTACTAGCCCAAATTTTAAAACAAAATGCTTGTCAAACAATAATGAAAAAACACAAAAACACCATTGATTTAAACTACACATGTAATTCATTGATCACTTTTCTCAAAAATTCAAGGCACCGTCTCCTCTGAAAGTTCCTGTTTTCATTTTATTTAATTTACTTTTATTCTCGGGCTGCGATGGGGCACATCAATGAAAGCCACGTCACGCCGATTTTATGACTTGTACACCTAAGGCTACGTGACTTTTAACAATCCTGCACTCCCCCCCCCCTCCCATACATCAATCAATATGCGCCCAGGCACGTATACACAGCCACGCGTGCTGGCGCTGCACGCTTTCGCGGGCTGATTTCTCGGCGACCTTTGATAATATATAGTGAGGATGTCGTTGTGATAGACGCCTCTTACAACTGTATTTCATCAATGTTGGGATATATGAACGTAAGGAACCAACATATTTGATTAAAGTTCCAGACAAATTATTTTTACTCGCCAACATGGGCGATCAGCATTAGCTTTCTCTTAGCGGCTCCTCGTCCCGGAACGCGGTCGCGTAGCCACGGCCTATTTTTATTGTGGCCAGCGGGCCACCAACCAACAAGTTTCAGGTGGCCCGACGCCCGTTTCAGGTGGCCATTGGCACCGGGCCACCGTTAAGTCGTCGAGCCCTGATTAGGATCAATTTTATTGAACCAATATAACCTTCGATATACACGATCCTATTTTTTACTACTGCGTCAAAGGTGAGCCGTGAGGTGGGCACTCGATGCAACACGCTGAACCGAGGCCTATTTTTAGATGTGCGTATGCTGCGTACAACTGCATATGTGGATGACAAAATATAAAAATATGAAAAATATTTAACTATAGCCTCGTTCACACGAGACCTCGTATTTCTGAAATACCGGATTGCGAAATACCGTATCTGAGACAAATACGCGGCCGACGCGTTCAGCACGCTGATTCGCGGCTCCAGAAAATACGGTATTTGCGAGCTGTGAGCTGCTTTTAGTAACAATAGCAAACAATGTGAAAATAAACAATGCAATGCTCGCACTCAACTGCGCGAATAAAATACCGTAACTGGTCCGGCTTGACTGTCCAGCTCGCGTTAGCATCTGGAACTGTCGAGCCGCCGGACCCAGTCTAAAAATACGCGGCTCTTAGGAAATGCGCGGTATTTAGCGTTCACACGAGGAAATGCGCGGTCCAAGAAATCCGGTATTTCTCAAGCACGGCAAATTATTCGGGGTCTGGGAAGTCTCGTATTTACATGAAATACCGGATCTGTTTAGATACCGTATTTCTTGGGCCTCGTATTTTGCCTCGAGTGAACGCTAAATACCGGATTTCTTGCTACGTGTGAATGCGGCTTATGACATCCTAGGAAAAAAAACGAACGATCTCCGAACTGCTGGCATTTCTCTTGTCTCTGGGCAAGAAACGGAAGTGCGCATGCCGATGCGACCTCGGTTCAGTGTGTTGCATCGAGTGCCTACCTGAGCCGTGAGGCCTGAGGAGTGAGGGCACTGGTGAAATTGACCCACCTGCCAATTCGGCTTGCATTGTGGCGATTTTACTCGCGTGGAGGTCGGCCAATTTGGCTCGAGTCGAGATGACCCACCTGGAGATCGGGCAGCTCTACTCACGCCGTCACGGCTAATTCATTTGAGATGTGGTAACATGTATCACAGGCTCCAACGTCGAAACGTCTATTATTATTATTATTATTAAATATTTATTGCAAATAGTTCAATTACAAATACATGTACTGAAAACGGCTTTTTACATGGGTCAAAAATCTGATGGATGCAATAGTGTTGAGATGTTAAAATGATTAAATTTCCATGTTTTCTTGATTTTAGTGCAATATTTGTAAGATATGATAGGTGGTTATTTCTGTGTGGTTTGTTAAGGTGGTTGATGTATTTGTATATAAATATAATAGTGTGTAGTATTTGTATTCTATTAGAGGCACTTTTACTTGTTCTATAATTCTAGTATCTGCACCTGCCCATCTATATGATGTACCATTTTTGTGAGAATAACCTTTCATTATGTGTAGAGCATAATTTTGCAGTTTGTTTAGTCTATCGACAGCCTGCGTGTAAGTTAGTCAATTTATGATAGATGCATGAGTTCAGGGTTCTCCAAGAGCTCCAAGAGATCATCGAGCCCCGCCATCCTAAAATGCACCCGCCACTCTAAATATCATAGCTCCCGGACCCCCCTAGCACGCAAACCGCCTTCGGCGATTTGCAACTAGGACCGTTAAGGCAGCACCTCCATGCTATAATGAAAAAGCTTGGAGAACCCTGGAGTTATATATATATATATCAATAGCTCATAATAGAGAAGAGTATGACACCGTTTTAACAGCGTTTTGCATAGTTTTCAACTTGTAAATATTCTATCAATATGTGAATAAATATATTCAAACTTTACCTTGTTTTCTTCTATGATTCTTCCTTAAAGCCGCACAATGCGCATCC